TATTTTCGAATTGTTAACTAAATGAGTTTTAAACGACTTTGAGCTAACGAACATCTCGTTTTGTTAAACATCTCTGCCCACCGTACATCTTGACCGTCTGATGGAGGAGCGTATGGCTGTTCCCCGCGGTCGATTTGTGTATGCTCTTAGATATGTGTACTACACGTTGGTCACCGACCATTAATTGGTTATTAATTATCTGATTATTAATTAATTGCGTGTATTTTTCGGTAGTAAGAACAAATCCAAACAGTTCTTGGAGAGTACAACAGATATTAATTACTAATCAGTCACAATTATCCCTTCTGCTGATAAAATCCAAACCGACCAATGTTCACAAACTAGGTTTAATTGCCTGCACACATTAACATGGTATTGTTTCAGAAAAAGCCAGATCTGAAAAGGCCTATTAATCATGTTAAAAAAATAATGTAAGCAAAAAAAAAAAATATCAAATGTCTGATTATTAATTTTAAGATGTTTTGTCATTTTGTACCATGTTTGACGCTTTGAAACCTAATCCCTACCCTGTATCGAGTNTAACTAATTAATTGAAAAAATTCCATAATTTGAAACAAGTAGTTTAAATCAACCTCAAATTGTCTAGAGATATTACGACTTCTTCAATTGATAGGATGTATATAGAAAGATTTCCACATACATTTTACTGATTATTATTATTATTTTGTCTGTAATTACAATTTTTATGTTTATGTGATTGTTAAAACTAGTTGAAAAGTTAGCTTATAGCTAGTTGATAAGCTAATTGATATTTACTAAATTAATTTCAAACTTATAATTGATATATATGCAAATAGTGTGATTGGATATAAGAATTTTTTAAAAAGTTTTATCTCATTCAAATGAGATGAAACTGTGGAATAAATTTGAGATTGTTATTGAATATAATATAAAAAATATAATAATTAAAGTTGATGTGATATTAAAATGCTAAAACATTATGAATAATAAAATACTCTAAATCATTTATTTATTTGTTTAAATTCATCTATCGAAGCAAACTTATTTGAACACTAAAATTTATATTCTAACTGAACATACTATATGCAAATGAGTTTGTAATGTTAACCAAAATATAAGTTGATTTTGTGTAATTCATCATCTTGTTAGACTCGAATTTGGTTTTATCCGCTTTCTCAATTGAGTTTTCTTGATGTGACGTGGAACACTTATTTGCATTATTTGGTGTAATGATATGAATGATTTGGTTAACTACTACCTATAAAAGGCCTGCGTGCGTGTGAGATTAAAATTAGGGTGGTTATAACTTATAATCACCTAAATTCAACTCTATTGGACTTAAAAGCAAGTCAAAGTTAAACAACTTAATTTAGTGAAATAATGTTTCAACTCATACAATATAATTACTAAATTGAAAAATGTGTATAATTTGTTTTAAGAAACAAATTTGTATATTTTAAATTTTAAATTTTAATAAAATATCGTATTGTTAGCTTTAAAATCATACAACTAATATTTTATATTCGCACGGGATAAAAATGTAATTTGACAAGTTCCATGGAATTCGGGGCTATGTTGTCCCAGTCCTCGTTCATTAGTTACCTCATTGCAAGTTCATTGACTTAATTATTTTGACTAGTAAAATTCGATAATAATAAATTGCGGAGGACAGGACAGTGAAAAGACAAGTATGACCCCGTGAGGAATAATGGCACGTGTCAGGCTGTTGCTGGGGAGATGAGTGATGAGTTAGCAGCCACGTGCCAGAGAATGGGCGCTTGTTCCTTGATCATTAAACAAGATTTAAGCAGCAGCCTATTATTGCACTGCCCCATTTCCAAGTAGATTCTGTCATGTGCCCCGTCCCCACTTCAAGGCTCAGTCACGTGCCGTCCCGCAGGCATTAGATGCCCTGCTTTGCATTTTTCATTTTCATTTTTATTATTTTACTGTTTATTTTTTTTATTTTTTTGTATTGATGAACGAAAATTACAAATTCATGGAGATACTTCACGGCAATAGCTTCGATACTTGACGGTGTTATCACGACTCGGCTAGTTTTTGATTGTTGTATTTTGACATCTTGACTGCGTCAAGAGAAGATGGGCTCCATAAATAAGAGAGAATTAAATGAATTGTTATCATGCACGAATTTATTTTTATTTATTTAAATTAAAAAGTATATGCTTACATGTTAACAATGGAAAAATAGTTTTATTTTTTTTCAAGTTTAAATATACTATTTCAAAAAAAAAACATATGTTATTGTTTATATTTAAAACAACAATAGTCACTACGATTGAACCATCATATATTGTAATAAATTTCAAAAGCATATTATATAATAGTTTTTCTATATAAATTTATATAATCGATAAATAATTTTATTCTTATTTTATATTAATAAACATTTTATCTTTTAGATATATATATATTTATTTCTAAAATGTATCGTTTACCTGGACCTTATATATTAATCTGGACTCCCCATTTTTTATGGGTAATTATTAGATGAACTTATATCATAATCAAGCAATTAAGCCTCCATCGATGACTTGTTATAGCTTAAGGCTGTATTTTTACTTTTTTTTTTTTATTTCTTACAATATATTATAGTGAGAGTTAAAAAAAATAAAATAAATAACTTGACAAACATTCATTTTTCTTTACATTATAATACTACCAAAATCAACAATTCAAGATATTTGCCAACAAATGGTTTAGTCAGTTTTACTATAAACCCATCTGATGAGGCATCTCATTGAAATATATTAACACTTCGTAAAATAAATACATCATAAAATATTTATCAATATATCAAAATGCATCACAAAAGTAGAATTTGTTTGGCTTCTAAACCTCCAAGTAAATCTTACGTGCAAATCTATCTACAGATTTCTTTGTTCGGTGTACTGTCTGGATTCCAAAACATCTCCAATTTGCAAACATTCTATATAAATTGTTTGTTAGACTTTATAGGATAAAGTGGTAGTTACTTTGTCAACAGAAGTAGCTCAAAATATTACCATTATATGCACGCAATTTTCATTTATTTGTTGTATATACCCAACCATAAACCTAACATTATGCAATAAAAGGAAAAATATTTTGGGTGGCTAAAATTTAGCTACTTCTTGCTTTTGGTATTTTGAGATTCATTTAAATTATTATTGGTGCACTAATATTCATTTGCTAATTAAACACATCTGGTACTATATTTTTGGTGCACTAATATTATTTTTGAGGTTTTAATTGAACATTAGAAATACCATTGAATTATTCCAAAAACATCTTTTTTATAAACATTTGACGATTAAATTTTTTATCAAACCTCATCAAAAAAATACCAAATATAATTACTGGATTGAAGAACCAAAAGTTAAAAAGACGGTTTCGATTAAACCTCAATCAACTATCAGAAAATACCAAACACAATTTACAGATTGAACTACCAAAAATCGAAAGATAGGTGATTAAGTATCAAAACTACAATTTTTTCACCATCATTAATTTTATCGTTCCACCTTATCTAAATAAGTTGTTTCATAAAATTATATATAACTCTATTTCTACATTGAGATTATATAGTTTCGCAGTTAAACTCCCGAGTATAATCACATTAAAAGGCCTTTTACGTCTATTAACCATTTACGTCTATTAACCGACTTGTTCGTCAGTTGCAAGTTGCAACGAACCAAAATAAACCCAAAAACAAAAAGTAAAAAGAAACAATGAAAGTTCCCTGCCGTCTGACACCAATGACAGGGACCGTTTGGTAAATTTGGTATGTCTCAGTCTTCTCCTCACTTCTATTCCAAGTCCCTTCCCTGCAAAGTGTGCTCATCTCTCCTCACTCTCTCTGTGTGTCTGTGTGTGTGTGAGAGAGAGAGAAAGTGTGTGTGAGAGAGAGTGGGATACAAAGGGATAAAGTGAAGGGTATAAAAACTTGACAAAGAATATGAGAAGTTGAGAACAAAACACAGTTTTGAACTTTTTCCTTTATACTTAACTTTTGAAGATTTTCTGCGCAAATTAGCAAAAACCCATCAAACTCTGAGCATTTGGGGCTTTGAGTTTCAGCTTCTTCATTGGGCCAATGGGATTATTTGGAGGCAAAAGACAGATAACATAAAATAATTTTAGGTGGGGATTTAAGGGGGAGGCTGATAAATATTTTCATTGAGAATTTGAGAAAATAATGTCTGTGAAGAACAGAGGTGGTGAGCAGGTTTCGAAGAGTTTGGTGTCACACAAATGGACCCTTTTCCTTTGCCTTGCGAGTTTCTCAGTTGGGATGTTCTTTACAGACAGGTGAGAAAACAGGGATTTTTTATTTGTTTGTTTGTTTTTTTGTATATGTTGTGTGAATTTAAGGGATTTTGATTTCTTGGATGAATTGAGAAGTTGGTCCTCTTTATTGTTTCAAGATTCAAACTTTTTTCTTTGTTATGTTCAAATTCATTGGTATTTTTGGTGGGCTATGATTATGAATATTGGTGATTTTCTTGTTTCTTAGAGATGTATGAAGCTATGTTTTTTATTTTTGCCTTTTATTTTCTTGTTTCTTAGAGATGTATGAAGCTATGTTTCATCTTGTTTCTTATATTGGTGATTTTCTTGTTTCATTTCTTTAAGCTGATCAAGATAGGGCGTCTCAATTTGTAATAGAATCATGTTTCTGAGAGAAAATATGCTTAATTTACTAAGGATCTGTAGATCTCTTTACAGTTTGATGAGTTGACTGTATCAGCTCATACCACAATCATTGATAATATAAATATATATTTATAGAAACATGACCTTAAAAAGATTTTTGCTCAATTGGTAATCTGCCTTTTCTTTTCTCCTTGTGGTGCAATCCTCATTTAGTTAAACAGATGTTTCTTTTCCCTCTTAAAATCTCTAAAATGATAAATTACTAAAATATTTATTATAAACCTTCATGCTTTTGGTCTTGGATATATATGCACATGATTGTTACATAAATGAAAAGCATGTGAAAACAGAATATGGATCGTGCCCGAAGGAAAAGGTCTCGCAAGAACAACTGCGTTCGAAGCTGAGAGATTAAAGCTAGTTTCGGAAGGTTGCGATACGAAATTCGTGAGTACTTTCGCATTTATTTTTTTCTTTTGCTTTATTATGACTTTGTTGCAAATATATCTTCACTCACTTATGAAATATCTCAACATTTTTCTCTTTTTCTCCTTTTTTTTGTGTGTGTGTGTGTGTGGGTTCCCATCAATTTGAAACAGAATAGTATAAAAAGGATGCCAATGAAAATCTTGCAGGATGTAACCAAGACTCAGAACCCTTTACAGTAAGTTAGCTTCTGCAGAAGTAAAGTTAAATTTTCTGACTAAAATTTCTTTCTTTGTTATTAAATCTCGAATGAAAACTTTTCTAGGACACTTGACAAGACCATTTCGAACCTTGAGATGGAATTAGCCGCAGCAAAGGCAGCACAAGAGTCGATTTTGAGTGGGGCCCCCACATCCGAAGCTACTGAATCTTTAGGAAGGCGAAAATATTTCATGGTAATTGGAATAAACACTGCATTTAGCAGCCGTAAAAGGAGAGACTCGGTTCGTGCCACATGGATGCCACAAGGTTTTCGTCGATGAAATAATACTTATGATTGTCTAATTTCCACCTTCTGTATTATAATAGTTTCTAATCCTTGAAATGTGCAAATAGGAGAAAAACGGAAAAAGCTCGAGATGGAGAAAGGAATTGTTGTTCGTTTTGTCATTGGCCATAGGTGAATGATCATGTCAACTTATTAATAAAAAACCTTCTTCTCTTGTACCAACATTTTGTGGATTTTGCATTTCTTGCAATTGAAAAATGCCTTAATGTGTATTTAATTGATTCAAATTTGTCTTTCTGGTACACAGTGCAACATTAGGAGGTATACTGGATAGAGCTATTGAAGCTGAAGATAAAAAACATGGGGACATTATGAGATTGGTAAATACAAAATTATACAATAATATATACATATATGACATGTGATTTTCTTGTTCCTCACTGCATGACACTTGTGTTAATCAGGATCATGTGGAGGGTTATCTCGAGTTGTCTGCCAAAACAAGGACTTATTTCGCAACTGCTGTGTCTTCATGGGATGCAGAGTACTATGTCAAAGTCGATGATGATGTCCATGTAAATATAGGTACGAACAAAAAAAGTATATTAGTAACAAATTTAATCCATCAAAATATCATTTTTCGTTGTTTTTTTTTTTTTAAATTCTGTATGTAATTGTATAACTATTGCAGCAACACTTGGAGAAACATTAGCAAGACACCGTAAAAGCCCTCGTGTGTACATAGGATGTATGAAATCTGGTCCGGTTCTTTCTCAAAGGTTTTACCCTTAACCATTTCTAGCTGACTATTGTATTCGATCCTAATATGTTTTTAATTTTTACACCATTAGCTCATTAATTTTCTTGAAACTTTATGAAACAGGGGAGTTAGATACCACGAACCCGAATTCTGGAAATTTGGCGAGCCCGGTAACAAATATTTCCGCCATGCCACAGGACAGTTGTATGCCATCTCGAAAGACTTGGCTTCTTATATCTCAGTAAACCAGTTACGTTTTTTTTTTTCTTATTTTTACCACAATGTAAAAATTATATTTAGCTCGTGGTAACTTTATTCGATTCTTGCGCAGGCATATGCTGCACAAGTATGCTAATGAGGATGTCTCGCTTGGATCTTGGTTTATCGGGCTTGACGTTCGACACATAGACAATCGAAGATTGTGTTGCGGGACCCCACCCGGTAAAAATCTCCTTAATTACCGAACAAAAACTACATATCAAGTATTTTTTTTTTTTTTTACCCTAACAACTAATGGGAGTCGGTTAATTTTCCATGCAGATTGTGAGTGGAAAGCTCAGGCAGGCAACATATGTGTTGCCTCGTTCGATTGGACGTGTAGTGGGATATGCAGATCAGCCGATAGGATTAAAGAGGTCCATCGACGGTGTGGTGAAAACGAGGATGCGGTTTGGAAGGTTAATTTCTGAGAGTCGAGCGAGAACTTATAATTCAATATTGGTCCCCCTAGAATTCGACAATTGCGAGAGATTTCTTGTTTCGTGCAATTATTAGGTTGATATATACAACATATCGAGTAGAGAAGGATGGGGAAAGGGGGAGACTTTTCATACATACTTATTACTTCTCATTTTTAGTGGAGAGGTTAAGCTGCTAATGCCAGTCAAGAAGAAGGGCAAGCCTTTTGAAGCTACATTTGTAAGATTGTAAGAAGTTTTAAGTTTGGAGAGTTTGTGGCACAAAATGGTGGGATCAATGGGTCCTGTGTATGTATCTGTTGCCTTTTATGATCACAAGAATCATTTTTTGTATTGTAAAGATGAAATGAAGTGTTCTACATAACATAAGCCCAATTATTTGTATCTATTTTGTATTGGGTGGATCTTTCCATGCAAGATAGTTGTTTCTTCTATGTTGGGTTCACATTTAATTGTGATATGTGTTGTTAAATAAACGTTTGAATGTAAAGCATGCATATTTTTGTAAAAACTAGTACAGAGCCCGTGCGATGCACGGGTGCATAATTTTAAGGCTATTTATCCAGGCTTATAATTATATACATGAATAAAGAAAAATGTACGGGATATATATAGTACGTGACCCGTGCGAAACACGAGATATATTTATTTAGAGAATATTATATTATAAGATGCAATATTCAATAAAAGTTTATAATAAGCAATTGTACCCGTGCGAAGCACGAGATATATTTATTTGTTTTATGATTTAATAATATAAATAAATCTATTACTTAACTTTGATAAATAAAACAAATAAATACTTTAGTAAGTATTTAATGTATATACTAAATAGGAATATATTTGGTATAATCAAATACCGAATATAATCAAATAAGTCAAAGTGTACATTTTTATTTGGTATTTGATTTTTTCATTATTAAAATCTTTTTATTATACTTACCTTTTTAAAATAAAACAAATAAATCAATTAAATAAACAAAATATTATAATACCAAAATAGTAATGGCATTTAATGCAGTTGACTTTTCTGGATAGTAAATGTAGTAAATAGAATTTGCTTTTATATAAGTATAAATTGTATAATACGGAAATAGTAATGCAATAAATGTTGTTGACTTTTTTTTTATACTAAATCTGATAAATGGTATACCTTTTAATATAAGTATAGATATGATGTTAGATTCATAGATTTATGAGTTCTTACTATGAGAGAGTTGAGGTAATAAAAATAATTATGGGAGATTTGACGTAATATATAAGAATAAGATTAAGACATGATAATATGGCCACGACGCAAACTACAATCAAAATGAAGGTAAATTATTGAAAAAATCACATTAATTCACAATATACAACCAAATCAGGCCCGTCTATAACTCGAATTGATCCGATTTTCTTCAAATATGTGTTTCGAATAGTTTGCCTACAATAATATACATAGATATGTAAATCGATTTTCTTGGGTTTAATTGGGTCTGATATTGGGCTACGGGTTAACATGGGTAGGCCCATAAAAAGTTTCACGGGCCGAAATTTCCTCACTGCACCAGTCACCAATGACCCCTTTCAATTTCTTTGTTGTCGCAATTCGCAATGCATCTGTTTTTAATTTGCTTCTTATCGGCACAATGTTCTCGTCTTTCTTCTACATTTCTCCATCCCCACCCCATAAACTACATCTTTCATTACCCAAGAAGTATAATCTATTCTTTCTATTACATTTGCTTAGGAAAAAAAACAATCAATTCCATTTTAAAACTAAAATTACTTACTATGTTACCAATTTAAAATCACTTCCACCGTATACTATACAATCAATGACTAGTGGTGTTAGTATTTATGATATTAGGTTTTACTAAAGGTACCAAATATATCAGTCATTTCTTTTAAATAATAAAAATGTCAGAGTTAATTTTAAGGTGTGTACGTGTTACTATTCTTATATATAAATACACTTGATAGTAACCTAATTTTTTTTAATATAATCCCGAAGTGATTAACTTACATTTTATCTTTTAAGCATGTTTTTTGTTAGCACTATTTGGAGTATACTCTTAATATTTCGTACTCTTCATGTTTTAATTTTAGTCATTCTCCAATTTTAATTTTTATAAATCCAAGAAATTATCTTTCTCTTGATGCATAATCTTTTAATATCGTCATGTTCTATTATTTCATAACATACGTTCCTAGTTTTTATTGGTACTCTTGAAGCATCGCTTGTTTTTTGGTTAATTTCTAGATAATTTTATAAATTAAAATATAATCCAAACGAAAATTTATTTCATTATAATTATAACAATTATTTATTTTCTAGAGGCGTGCCATAGTAAATACTAAATACTTAAATACAACAATTTTCAACCCCTATCAATTATTAATTCCATTCAACAAACGTGAATTGTATGGCACCAAACCGAATAAAAATAAATAAATAAATAGATATTGTTAGCGTGTAAGAGTTGAAATAAAAATAATATTAAGAAAAAAAAAAATCTCATCAAATTCTGTTTCAACAAATCTACAACCCTCGTGTACCCTACTAGCATACGGTCCTCGTTTTCTCCAGTCTCAAACCCCTTCCCATTTTCTAGCCGAGTCCATGGCCTCTCTCACCAAAGACTGAAACACACAATATTTTCTGTCAAACCAAATAATTACTTATATAATTAATATATGGCCATTAATGGAGTTGGACTCCCTTTCACCCAGATCACACTACCACCGCCTCCACCGCAAATCCCACTTTCTTCTCCCAAAACCTCCCGCGACCATGGCCACGCCGGTCAACTCGCCGCCACCGCCGCCCGCCACCATACAGTTTCCGGTCAGCCTCTCCCGCGATGAAGACGATCAGGACCTCCACGGGAAGCGTAAGGTGATCGACGAGATGGATTTCTTCTCCGACAAGAAAGAGGCGGCCGCCGAAGCCGACGACGACGACGAGGCGGCGCATCTCGGCGGACCCGATCGTCGTTGGGCCGTGGATTTTAAAGTGAATGTAACGATCTGTCTCCTCCTTCTGTGGGTTTTTTCGTTTCGAATTGAGATTTAATTCGAATTTTAATTTAATTATTTTTTCGGGGTTTTGAATTTGGGTATAGACTGGTTTGCATCTCCTGACGACAGCGAACACAGGCAGCGATGAGTCGATTGTCGACGATGGGATTTCTTCCAACTCAGAAGACAAAAGATCAAAAAATGAGGTGAGAGTGAGACCATTGGTTGTGGATTTTATGTTGATTATTAATTTGGTTTGCATGTTTAATTGAATAATGGATCACAATTCACAAGTCTCACAAATATACTTCTGTTTCAAAAGTAGCACAGACTGAAATTAGCAATTGATCAACAATGGTCTCATTTTCTATTATTTTTTTATTTTTAATTAATAAAAATAAGAACATTTTTTTCCCACAATTTTACATGACTCGTCGCATTGACTGATTCATCACATTCAGTAAACACAAATTATTGAGAAGGCAGTCTAATTATTAATTTATTACTACGGTCGACTGTTAGCATTATATAACAAACACACATATTTATACTATTAAATGTCATACTTTGTTCAACTTTTGTTTATAATGTGTTAAAGTGTCTTCCAGTTTTGCTATGAAGTGAATCAATAATAATCTCATAAATTTTAAAATTTATCAATTTGAAGAGGAATGAATGGAATTTCAACGTGTAATTTGACATGGGACACGCGTGGAAATGACGCATCACCTCCGCAAATATTTTCCTTATTCTAATCAATTTTAAAACATATGAGATTATTATCAATCAACTGTATATCGTAATGCAATTTAACTAGACTATTTTTCTAATTTTATCCCATGTTTTACAATGATAAATAAATCCCAAATGTGTATCAATGTTGACTCGTGAAAATTTGTGTATCAGATGGCCGTAGTCCAGGCGGAGATGGAAAGGCTGAGCTCCGAGAACCGCCGCTTGAGGGAGATGCTGAATCAAACTACGAACAACTACAACAGCCTGCAGATGCATTTACTCACCCTTATGCAGCAGCAGCAAGGACAAGGACACGAGTCTATTGAAGAACACAAGTTCAACAACAGCCACGACAATACCAATAACGGGCTCCGCCAGTTCATGGATCTCGGATTTCCTGCCAACAATGACGAAACTGCCCTTTCGCCGCCCGAGGGCAAGCTATCACCGGCATCGCCTGACAAAGAAATTGAGGAAAGAGACGAGCAGGAGAGTAGCAAGGCAGCCAAGCACGGACACTGCACTAGAAGTGTCGACCAAGCTGCCACCGAGGCCACCATGAGAAAGGCTCGTGTTTCGGTTCGTGCTAGGTCCGAGGCCTCCATGGTAACACATGCCCGATAAATATTTGAAATAGTGATTCAGTTAAGAGTTTGATGGTATTTGGTTTACTTTCTCATCCGTAACACTTTTTTTTTTTTTTTTCGGGTTTTTGTGAATGATGGATGAATAGATCACTGACGGATGCCAATGGCGCAAGTACGGGCAGAAGATTGCAAAGGGGAACCCATGGCCCCGCGCATACTACCGGTGCACCATGGCCGCCGGTTGTCCCGTCCGAAAGCAAGTATGTCCTTGTTCCTCAATTCTTTTGTTTCACATAAATTTTTCAAGTAGTCTTATGTAGGTTGAAGTCTCCATATTTGTGCATGTCAGTGAAATTTCATATATGGTTTTTGTGATTGAAGTCTCATTATTGTATGGGAATTCAATTGGCATTTTGAGATTTTTTAAGATTTGATACTTTTTAAAATTTTTTGATTTTTTATTTTAAAATCTAGCAAATCTTAAAAATTCTTAACAAATTCTAGGCTTAAATAAGTTAAATACCTAATGATTTTGTAAGACTTTTTAAGATTTTAAATAAATACCTCAAAACTTTTAAAAATTTTAAAAAATCTAAAATTGAATACACCAGAATATTTTAAGTTTTTAGAAATCTCAAACCAATACACCTCGTTTATCTTTAAAAATATTGAAACAAATCCAAGTGATAATAAATAAATTGAACACCTATTTTAACATTTTTTTTAAATCTTAAATGAATACCTCCTAACATCAGGTCCAGAGATGCGCCGACGACACGACCATACTCATCACGACTTACGAAGGCAATCACAACCACCCGCTGCCGCCGACCGCCATGGCCATGGCCTCGACCACCTCGTCGGCCGCCCGTATGCTTCTCTCGGGCTCGATGCCGAGCGCCGACGGCCTCATGAGCTCCAACTTCCTGGCTCGGAATCTCCTCCCTTGCTCGTCCAGCATGGCCACCATCTCCGCCACAGCCCCTTTTCCCACCATCACTCTCGACCTCACCCAATCCCCCAACCCACTGCAGCAGCAGCTGCCCCCGAGGCCGCCCAACCAGTTCACCTCCTTCCTCAGCCCACCGCCGGGGAATATTCCGGCGGGAAACTCGGCGGCTGCCGCCCTCCTGCCCCAGATATTCGGGCAGGCGCTTTACAATCAGTCAAAATTCTCGGGCCTCCAGATGTCGTCCGACCCGAATTTCTCGGCCGACCCAAATTTCACGGCGGCTTTAGCGGCAGCCATCTCGTCGTTTATGGGCGGGCCGAGTTCGAATAATGGGAATGGAAACGCGAATAATGGTAGCAACAACAATAACAACAGGCAACAACAAGAGTAGAGAGAGCTATTGGGTGAAATGAATGATCAAGTGAGCTAGCCATGAGAAAATCTCGTTAAGTTTCTACTCTCTCTTTCTCTGTGATTTTTGTTTTTTCATATTTTTTCAGTGGAGGGTTTTCCTTGCCTTCCTCCATATAGGAAGTTGAATTATCCACTTGAGAACATTTTTGACGCTCTTCCGGTTTTCGTTTTCATGAATAATGTAAGATCACATAACTNAAAAAAAAAAAAAGGAAGAAAAGGCAAATGGTGTCTAAGTATTTTGATGCTTCTTGCAAACTTGTAGGAGCAAAACCTAGTTTTCTAGTATATGACATACAACTACGTGGTATATTTTCGTACAATTTTGAAGCTGTAAAATGAGATCAAATTATTTGCTTAGGAAAAAAGAACTCTTCGGTTTGATTTACTTGGCTGATAGTTTGATGTACAATTTCTACAAATATTCATTTTATTATTAGAAAATGTCATACTTAATAAAATTCAAAGTAAAACATTATTTCATAATACATATATTTTTGTTCATAAAGTATAACGGCTGAATGTCCCCAATGGTAAGAGTTAAGACTGCTTTATACAAGAATTTATGTTAAATCTGAAGGTTAAAATACAAATATTGTGTGAGATAATATAACAATCAGACATCCATAATACTTTTTAATAATTACACTAGCGCATAGCCCGTGCGACGCACGGGATGGTATATTTTCTTGAAATTTTTAACGTGTGAAATATTAAAAATAATATAATTTATATATACGTAACAAAAATAAATGGATTGCAAAGAAGGAAAAAAAATATAAATTATTGAACACTTTTTTTGTGAAGTAAAATTTGTGAAGTTTTGATATATTTGATTATGAATAGAAAAGTATGAAATACTACCTGCGGACCGTTGAGATAGATGAGAAGATTTACTTAGAATATATAGAATAAATATTGAGATAATGATTTACCTTTTACCTAGTATATATAAAATAAATATTGACATGATGTGGGAAAATTATGACGAATTATGACACAAATTCGTTTAGAAGTTAGTAGAAAATATTCAAAAATTAGATTTATTTTTTATTTTTTAAATCATTACAGTAATTCGTACGCTCCTTTTCATACGCTTAATTTATCAATTTTACACATACAAATCAAAATTAATGCAACTCGAAATATTATATAACAAATAAAATGAGATTTTTTATCTAACATTTAGTATATTGCTGGAAAATCTTTTATAAATCTTATTCTCTTTTTATGCACATAGATATTAAAGAATGAGTAAAAAACTTATTTAAATATGTTTAAAAGTATCTAATATTATATGTGTTAACAATGTTACAACCAAAAGACATTAAGAATACGTAGACTATTATATAACATATGTGAAAGTATTAAAATATTTTATATTATTATTGAAAAATGTGAAATTACCTCAATTTTGTCTAGACTATTTTATAAGAAAAATATATATACTTAAAGTTAGCATACACACACATATATATCCTTAAAATTTGCCCAACTAACATGTTTAAAAGTATATACAATTTTATATATAAAAACACGTTTAAAGTTTACATATTTTAAAAAAATTAGACTGCTCTCAGTTTATATAAAGTTTGTTGCTCTCATATTCGGATAACGTATCATGCATATAATGAAAACACTCTACGATACAAATTTATAAATATTAATTAAAATAATTTTCTAAATTATATAAAATTGAAATAACAAAGGTAAATATTACATGTTCATCATGAAAATGCGTTACAGCTTTCCCGTTCGTGATGGGTTTCAATAATGTGGACTGCTTTCAGACGCAAAAAAGTTTGTTTCTTTTGTTAACGGAATCAAGTGTACCCCAGCCCGGAAGCATTATATTGTATATGCGATGAAAAATTATTCTCTATATTTTTTTTTCTCTGAACTCGTATTTTTTTTCTCTGAACTCGCGAATGATGAGTTGTAATGGTGGTAGTGAATATCCTTTTATACAATTTTTTATTAACCAAAAGTGATAAGATAATTATGGATTGTATTTGGATATATAGTAAGTCTCATGATTTTTGTAACGGACAATCAATTTCACATATTTTTTATTAACCAAAAGTGATAAGAAATTATGGATTGTATTTACCTTTTACCTAGTATATATATAATAAATATTAACATGATGTGAAAAAATTATGACGAATTATGACATAAATTCGTTTAGAAGTTAGTAGAAAATATTCAAAAATTAGATTTATTTTTTATTTTTTAAATCATTACAGTAATTCGTACGCTCCTTTTCATACGCTTAATTTATCAATTTTACACATACAAATCAAAATTAATGCAACTCGAAAAATTATATAACAAATAAAATGAGATTTTTTATCTAACATTTAGTATATTGCCAGAAAATCTTTTATAAATCTTATTTTCTTTTTATGCACATAGATATTAAAGAATGAGTAAAAAAATTATCTAAATATGTTTAAAAGTATCTAATATTATATGTCTTAACAATGTTACAATAAAAAAACATTAAGAATACGTAGACTATTATATAACATATGTGAAAGTATTAAAATATTTTATATTATTATTGAAAAATGTGAAATTACCTCAATTTTGTCTAGACTATTTTATAAGAAAAATATATATACTTAAAGTTAGCATACATACACACATATATATCCTTAAAATTTGTCCAACTAACATGTTTAAAAGTATATACAATTTTATATATAAAAACACGTTTAAAGTTTACATATTTTACAAAAATTAGACTGCTCTCAGTTTATATAATGTTTATTACTCTCATATTCGGATAACGTATTATGCATATAATGAAAGCACTCTACGATATAAATTTATAAATATTAATTAAAATAATTTCTAAATTATATAAAATTGAAATAACAAAGGTAAATATTACCTGTTCATCATGAAAATGCGTTACAGCTCTCACGTCGTTAACGGAATCAAGTGTACCCAGCCTGGAAGCATTATATTGTATATGTGATGAAAAAATATTCTCGGTATTTTTTTTCTCTGAATTCGTGAATGATGAGTTGTAATGGTGGTTTTTTTCTCTGAACTCGTGAATGATGAGTTGTAATGGTGGTAGTAAATATCCTTTTATACAATTTATTATTAACCAAAAGTGATAAGATAATTATAGATTGTATTTGGATAGATAGTAAGTCCCCTGATTTTTGCAACGGACAATCAATTTCACATATTTTTTTATTAACCAAAAGTGATAAGATAATTATGGATTGTATTTGGATAGATAGTAAGTCCCATGATTTTTGCAACGGACAATCAATTTCACATGCTTAATTAACGGAAATATCACCATTATTAAGGACAATATCCATTTGCTTAATTAAAGTAGAATATATAAATAGAAAGTCAAAAGTCAACTCAATTATTTTTAGGTTTCTAAAAAAGGATTTTTACATCAACCTTTTTAGATATACTAGCGCATAGCCCGTGCGATGCACGGGATGGTATATTTTCTTGAAATGTTTAACGTGTGAAATATTAAAAATAATATAATTTATATATATGTAATAAAAATAAATAGATTGCAAAGAAGGAAAAAAATATAAATTATTGAACACTTTCTTTGTGAAGTAAAATTTGTGAAGGTTTGGTATATTTGATTATGAATAAAAAAGTATGAAATACTACCTGCGGACCGTTGAGATAGATGAGAAGATTTACTTAGAATATATAGAATAAATATTGAGATAATGATTTACTTTTTACCTAGTATAGACAAAATAAATATCGACATGATGTGGGAAAATTATGACGAATTATGACATAAATTCGTTTAGAAAATTCAAAAATATTTTATATTATTATTGAAAAATGTGAAATTACCTCAACTTTGTCTAGACTATTTTATAAGAAAAATATATATACTTAAAGTTAGCACACACACATATATATCCTTAAACTTTGCCCAACTAACATGTTTAAAAGTATATAAAATTTTATATATAAAACACGTTTAAAGTTTACATATTTTACAAAAATTAGACTGCTCTCAGTTTATATAAAATTTGTTGCTCTCATATTCGGATAACGTATTATGCATTTAATGAAAGCACCCTACGATACAAATTTATAAATATTAATTAAAATAATTTTCTAAATTATGTAAAATTGAAATAACAAAGGTAAATATTACATGTTCATTGTGAAAATGGGTGCGTTACAGCTCCGTTCGTGATGAGTTTCAATAATGCGGACTGCTCTCAGACGCAAAAAAGGTTTGTTATAAATATTAATTAAAATAATTTTCTAAATTATATAAAATTGAAATAACAAAGGTAAATATTACCTGTTCATCATGAAAATGTGTTACAGCTGTTCGTGATGGGTTTGAATAATGCGGACTGCTCGTGATGGGTTTCAATAATGCGGACTGCTCTCGCAAAAAAGGTTTGTTATAAATATTAATTAAAATAATTTTCTAAATTATATAAAATTGAAATAACAAAGGTAAATATTACCTGTTCATCATGAAAATGCGTTACAGCTATTCCGTTCGTGATGGGTTTCAATAATGCGGACTGCTAGGTTTCAATAATGCGGACCGCTCTCAAACCCAAAAAAGGTTTGTTATAAATATTAATTAAAATAATTTTCTAAATTATATAAAATTGAAATAACAATTATACAATATTACCTGTTCATCATGAAAATGCGTTATAGCTCTCCCGTTCGTGATGGGTTTCGGACTGCTCTCGCAAAAAAAAAGGTTTGTTTCTTTTGTTAACGTACCCCAGTCTGGAAGCATTATATATCAAGTGTACGCCAGCCTGCTCGTGATGAGTTTCAATAATGCGGACTGCTCTCAGACGCAAAAAAGGTTTGTTATAAATATTAATTAAAATAATTTTTTAAATTATATAAAATTAAAATAACAAAGGTAAATATTACTTGTTCATCATGAAAATGCGTTACAACTCTCCCGTTCCTGATGGGTTTCAATAATGCGGACTGCTCTCTCCCGTTCGTGATGGGTTTCAATAATGCGGACTGCTCTCAGACGCAAAAAAAGGTTTGTTATAAATATTAATTAAAATAATTTTCTAAATTATATAAAATTGAAATAACAAAGTTAAATATTACCTGTTCATCATGAAAATGCGTTATAGCTCCCCATTCGTGATGGGTTTCAATAATGTGGACTGCTCTCAGACGCAAAAAAAGGTTTGTTTCTTTTGTTAACGTACTCCAATCTGGAAG